GTGTTGAGGTTATAGGAGCCCTGATGTCCGGAGGCTCCATCCTTGCAGGTTAGCCGCTGCACCGGCTAACCATTCAGTTGATTTCACACACTCACAACTCGTGGGACAAGAGATTGCCCGTAAGTAAACGATATTAAGTTCACAAACTAAATGGCGATGTGATAACTGTTTCACTGCACGCGATCAGAGCACGATGTGTCTCGGTCGGCTGCCGCAATGGAACTGGGGTGTTTTGTTGTTTTAAATCTTTTATGTAAATAGTAATATCTGATGTACACTACCGATGTAATTCTTTGGAAAATAAAAATTATTATTATTATTATTATTATTATTATTATTATTATTATTATTAAAGTTTTTATTCCGTACCATTCAATAGCAATTTTCTCCAATATTGTTACTACCGTTTATCTTAAGTTCTTTTCGGAAGTCAAACTTCATTTTGCTCTTCAGGGTTGTGTGTTCTTTAATTTGTTTCAGGTTGTAGATCATTCTGTTCTGTACATCATGTTTTCCTAATGCTACGTTTCTGTACGATAGAGTTGGTCTATTGCCCTTTTCACAGGAGCTTCGATAGAACCTTGCATTCTTTTCTAAAAACGATGTCCTTCTGAATTTGTTCGTGTCCCCTCTTGGGCCGTTTCTATATCTTTATGTATTGATCGAGTAAACAGTCCTTCCGTCACTCATGGTTCCACCCCCTTCCGGTCCACCAATGGAGGAAAGTAGGTGTCAGTCGATGCGTGTCGTTCTTCTGCTTAGGAACTGATCATTTGTATTTTTGTACATCCATCCAGAAGATTCTGAGAAATTTTTCTAAAAATATGTTTTAGAAGAAGAATGAATACAAGTGTATTTAGTTTTTGTAATTTGTTAATGTTTTGTTTTATATAACGGAGTATTGAGTGAGCCACATGTTCTCGTAAGATTGTATAAAATATGTTGTTAGGGAAGACAAACAAGTAAGTGAGAGATGTTGCTTGATATATGAAGGAAATTATATAAGAAAGAGAATAAATGAATATTATAATGATGATGAAGTATGTGTTAATTCATTGATATCAAAAGGAAGTACCATGTAGCTTCGTCTGCCAGATAAGTGTAATAAATTAATAATAATAAATATAATAGAATCCAATATCACATTTCAAAGAAACTAACAGTACATTGAGGAAACGTTGTACGCTCTCTTTCCATTCTCATTTGCATGAACTATTTACGTCTTAATTCATTCAGTTAATTAATTAAATATAATTTTGTAATGAAAATAAAAATAAACTAGTATTTTAATTGATATTTTTTTCATTTAACTTTCTATGCTTAAAAATGAACCAACACAACTGTAATGTGTTTATAACTTATTTTAATTCCGAACTTTCATAGCCTAAATAAAACTTTTTAACTTGAAATTTCTCGGCGGAGGCTTCACAGTAAACTAGTTATATCACTACTATGATAGTGTTTTCCTGCCAGTAGATACTAATTTCTTCGTTCATCAGAACCGATATGAACTCTGTCATAGTAAATATAACCTCACAGTTACCTGTTTGTGTACCCCGCCTCTTTTTTTTAACTTTTAAAAAACGTTTCGACGTTCATTACAAATCTCGATGACGTTGAGTTCCTTTTTTAACCTTTGTCGTATTGTTATGATTGCGCCATACCACACTTTTACGATTGACTTGTAGTTTTCCGATTTGCATTCCCTCTAAACATTTCTTCTCTTGTTTATGTCGCAGGGACGTGACAAAGTACGAAGAGGCATGGGATGATAAGACTGCTCTCGTTCCATTCTGGGTACCGGGGTTTAAATCCCAGTGGATTCATGTAGAATTTAGGTGAACAAAGCGAGTTTGCAGCAGATTTTCTGTGAGTCCTTCCAATTCCAAAACTTGTCATTATCCCATTTCTCCAACAATCGCGTCACCCATCGTCTGTCGATCATAGCCATTGATCCCAAATATGACCGAAAAGGCTACTTTTTGAGATTATATTGAACATTACTTTCTAATTGATGTTTTACGACCAGCAATATATTTCTCATTTCCTCTGTTCTTCGTAATTTTGACTGTTTCCTATGTTTCTTATGTTCTTATTGTGTGTTAGATTGGTAGTAATTTGGGTTTCTCAGTATCACTTATATTCGTGTGTGAGTATTTACCCCTGCAACTTATCCATGTCACTTGATTTCATTGAAGTAATGATAAAATTATTTTGGTTTTTTCTTGACCTAATTATTCATAGTCTCCATAGAGATCGTCCGACGGATTGCTACATAGTCAATATCGATATCCCAGCACCAGACCATGACATTTTGTTTACTCGACTTGACCTTGAAGTGTGTTGCCTTCCGTCTCGATTTGAGCTCTCCAGTGAATTTCATTAACGTTTTCCCCTTTACTGTTTGTTCTTCTCTGGATGGGATCTCCACTACTATTCACTAATATGGTTTCTTTCTTACGACCTGTGCGTTATAGCTACATGACAAGTGAATATACTATTTGGTGATTATAATGCGCAAATTGGAAGAGAGAGAAATTTATTTGTAGGTTTACAACTATATTTTGATATTCGCCGTTATAAATAGTCATCTGTTGCTGAGTGCTGTTGCTGAAGGTTATACACATTTTTAAGTTTCTCTGTGATTTTCAATTCTATGAACTTGGTTTCCATAGTCTGTTTTTTCAGATGATGCAAAACTGGATTACAATAAATGTATTTATAATATAGTCGTATATAAGTACATTTGTGTGTTTCCTGAAAATATATTTAAAAAACAAGAGAACTTAAGAACGTATTTATAATATAGTCGATGAAGAAAACTTATTATTATTGTTTGTTTCAGCTTCACTCGGAGTACAGAAGTACGTACCGATGGCACGAATATACAGGCCCGCGTCAGGAGGTGGTCCGCAGACCGCCCCTTGCTGCATCTGGTAAGCACAGAAAAGTCTCATTTCTCTTTTCTTTCAATTGCTTAAGACTAAAAACATACAATTTTTCATTTAATAAGACGCAGGTTTAAATATTGGTATTTGTCTGCTAGTATATTTTCTTCTACTCTTTTCTATCTTAAGCACAAATTTTCCATTTCTTACATCTCATCAATTTTATTCCTGAAATATAATACTATTATCAATTTCTCTTCTTTTCTCGATTTCTTTTATTGCTTTAGCGTGTTTACACTTTATGATGTGACAAATGCTACGGTTTACATTTTCAAGGCCTAATCAAAGTTTCATTTTTGATTATCTTACTTGATTAACTTTCATTACGTTCGTGTTTCGAAATCCATTGATTAAAATTATAAACTGACAAAAAATGTTATCAAAGTATATTAAAACGCTTAAGATATTTAACATACGTTATGTTATGTAGTTATTTGATCTGCCTTGTTAATAATTCTGTGGTTACAGGGTAAAATAACTTAAATCATGAATGTTAGTTAGGAGAAAACGAGTTATATAAGTCAGCCATTTTTGATGAGTGATAAGTTGACAAATGTGGGCTATTTTATGTATTATTTTAAAATATAAATGATAATGAACTTATAGCTTACTAGAACAAAATCTATAAATATTTAAATAAAACATTTAAGTTATTTTACTCGTGAAAGTTTTAGTTATTTTGAGCACGCTTGGAAAATTGTGACTTCGGGCATTATAACGGACCTTTTAGTAATTTTTTAAGTATATGACATGAGAGATAATAAACAGTTATTGAATTTATTCTTCGTCTTTTCCTTCTTCTTCTTTTCCTTCTTCTTCTTCTTCTTCTTTTCCTTCTTCTTCTTCTTCTTCTTCTTTTCCTTCTTCTTCTTCTTCTTCTTTTCCTTCTTCTTCTTCTTCTTCTTTTCCTTCTTCTTCTTCTTCTTCTTCTTCTTCTTTTCCTTCTTTTCCTTCTTTTCCTTCTTCTTTTCCTTCTTTTCCTTCTTTTCCTTCTTCTTCTTTTCCTTCTTCTTCTTTTCCTTCTTTTCCTTCTTCTTCTTTTCCTTCTTCTTTTCCTTCTCCTCCTTCTTTTCCTTATCTTCCATTTCTTATAACGAAATTACACATGTGACATTTGTTCCTGATTGGTAGAAAACTCTTCAAACACTTCATAAACAGAAAGCGGTCTGACGACGTCAAAAAGATTGTTTCTTGTCAAACTCCAGTGTGGAATAAGTTGCCTACCGCTCAGGGGTAAATGCTACATGTTCTTTAAACAAGCTGATCCATCACATTTTATTTAGCAAAAATGTACCATTTTCATCCGTATTACCTACTCTACAAGTTTGTAACATTTATTTTGCGACATTCTGTTTAGGTATATATGTATCTATTTGATTATATGCATATGTCTTCGAATAAATATTAGGGAATTTGTTCAAATTATTGTATTCGCTACACTTCGTTTTGAAATGTGACTTATGGCACGCTGTGAACGGTTAAAATAGACCCAGGCAGGACAAGCTCTAGGTTTCCGACTGGTCTTCCGCCTCAAAATTACGCGAAAACCACTAATAATTAAAAAGTGATATTATTTAAAGATCTAAAATTGTGAAACAATTGTATTCAGATAGAAATTTCAATCTTTAATATTAAGGTTATCTGAGGGTGCCGACAAAACATTTGAACTTTTTTAATTTTAAAAATTACAGAAATGTTAATGAAAATCGGACCTACTTTTGAAAATTATTGCTATTTCATTAAGAAAACTTATACGAGAAAAACGTTGTTGGTATCAGGGACCCAGAAAACGTTCCTTTTTGGCGGACAAATACTCTACCCTGGAGTTTACACAACTTCATACAAAGTATATGAGAAAATAAATGCCAATTTAAGTACACTTGTCCCGTAAAAATAAAATGTTTGTTCTCTTCATAGTAAGTTTGTTAAGTATTCTTTTTTCGAGTAAGCTAGCAAAAACTTTTTCTATAGACTAGTTCAGTAAAAATTTGCCGATGTGGCGCACAATACTACGCAGAGTACATTTTAATGCTTGAAAACAATTAGCTACATCTGATACCCACGAACACGACAACAATATTTATAGGACTACCAGCGTTTATGTTTACATTTCGTGTACAAAATTATTAGAATGAGAGCATAGGTTTCAGCGGTCGGAGTCAGTATTTACTTACCTGTCCTGGAAACACTGCGTCCTAGGCGCAGGTGCCAACGTTTCGGCCGCCAGTCTGCGATTTTCCTTGGGGCGAAATGCCAAGGCCAAGTACATATTAAATTATTAGAATGTCAGCGTGAGCAGAAATAAGTTTCTGTACTAATATGTAAATCCAATTATTTTAAATACTTTGCATTCGTAAATTAAATATTTACATGAAACAGTCGTGATAATGCAAATTTTATATCGTGACTTTCTACATACCAAGAATATAAAGAAAATGCTGTTCCATAACGCAATGTGTGAATAGCAGTATTTAATGGTCGGTTGCTTCATCCTTGTATCCCTGCTGCCGCATGTCGTCTGCTCTGTCGTGAGCTGTGACGCACGCTTTGAATAGTGTGATCTGACGCCGATCTACATGTTGACTTACGGGGGATTTCTCCCTCCAGATCTCTTCCTGCGGCGGGGCACCGCCCCAGCCGAGACAAACTCTAGGCTCCCGACTCGTCTCCCGACTGGTCTCCCAACATGGTGTGGTAGTGTAGTGCATGTAAATGTAACTGTGTGTAAGGAGAGAGGTCTAGGCCTTCCTCTAGGAAGAAAGATCGTGCGCTGTCTGCGGCCCGTTTGTTAGGATACTGATCCGGCATTCCCTTCTTATTGATCAGAGAAACTATGGAAAAACTACCGATCAGAGCATTCGGTAGCTAGAATGCTCCTCTCTTCTATAGAAATATCATATGGCTGGAAGCTGCATAGTTTCCTTTCTTTTTCTGTGCGAACTGGAAATTATGAGTAGTAAAATAGATGTTATTGTATTTTTCTCGAGTTTCTCGAGTTCCTGGGTATCCAACAGATTCGTAGACCAGGCATGTGAAGGTCGCAGGCAAGGTAACTAGCTTACTGGAGTTCGCAACCACTGTGTCCAAAGCTACTGCTGCGAAGTTTGAAAGTTAACGTTGTTAAATTTCTCTGGAATGCAGTACGAACTTGGAATGCAGTGGATACTTGGCCCACGGCAGTCTTTTGGTGAAGTCCGTTGACAGTTATTTCCTCAAATTCATTGATAATCGCATCTTCTTGGCCAAAGCAAAGACGTTATCCATTACAATGAAATATGTTACCAATATTTGAAGAGTGAAAATAGTCAAAATTTCAGAATTAAAAGAATATTAATATCGCAACCGTGTTTACTGAACCGCATGGATTGCATTAACGTCCTACGTTCAGGCTATGAACAAAAATTTTAGCCTGTTAAAAGAGCTGTCCACCCATAAGAATGGTAAAGTAGATGATCGAAAGAAAGCTACGTTAACGATTGGTGATTTTCAAAAAACTCTCACCTTTCTGCCAAATAAGAATTTCTTAATATTTGTAATTTTATTTATCATTACTTACATTAGTTTTCAGTAAAATACGCAGGACAAGAATTTTAACGATATTTTACTTTTTCATTCAAATTGACCTTATTAAAGCCGTAGAATATAAACACATAATTAATAATGCTTTGAGTGAATTCCTCCGTAGAATTGATACAATTTTTTCTGTTAATCTTTATAAGTAATCATTATTTCAAACTACTAAATAACCATTTTTGTTAACTCTTTTAACTAAATGATCTATAAAAGTATAAATATGAACACCCTTTGTAAACGTCATATATGTAAACAAGGGTGTCCTAATAAAACCAACCTTGTCCTTATTAGGGAATATTGAAAACCTACTTCTAAACTTTATTATTATAAAGCTTTTCATTGTCCTGAACCTGTAAATAATACATAATCCCTTTTAAGTTGCACATTGAGAGCAAACAAAAATAACCTAGTCATATTTAGAAGTAGGTTTTCAATATTCCCTGATAAGGACAGATTGGCTTTATTAGGACACCCTTGTTTACATTTAAGACATTTACATTCTGTGTATTGCTAATGAAAATCACTCTGAGAATTCTACCACATAATGATACTAAGTGTTAGTGGAACAGAAAATCTTAAAACACTTGATGAAGATGCATAGATAAATAGCGAAATTTGGACCTATCGGATATTACTGCAGACACTTCAAAATCCACGTATGTCTCAGTGTGAAAACACTATTGGAGTAACTTGGATCTACCACCATCATCTTCTTTATCGGCACGCTGTTGATTGGTACTGGAAACTTCCACCTAACTGAAGCACTTTTTTTTGTTAAAAAAACGTACATTTGGCCTTACTGGGGCCATGGCCTTAGTTTGGTCTCCTATCTTATTATAAATCTAAAAGGTGTCTTAGAGGAGACAGACTACATAGACTTTATAATTTATTTCACATTACTACTACTACAACAAACTCCTTAAATAAAACAAAACAAAAAATGAAAACAGATGTTGCCATTCAGTCACGTTCCCGCTCCTTGGCAAAAATGATTACACAAGTCAGAATTTAACTAGTGGTGCTACAGAATGGCACAGATTCTTCCGTATTAGTTTTCTACTTCCTTTGATCTCGGATAATTATTCGAACTCGCCACATACTCTTGCCTGCTGAAATCTATTCAAACAAAAAGTACACTTTTTTGAAATTTTCTATATTTTTCGGATTCCTACGAATAGAACGGAAATATTATTTTATGAATATTATAGAATAGTAAAACCTCGTCCTAAATTGCAATTTTCTTTGAAAAACTTGGAGCCGTTTGTAAGAAATGGCGCTTAAGCGCTACAGTAAATTCGATATTTGAAGCAATTTTTCACAGAAAATTTTTGAGTTTTCGAAAACCTTCATTTGAATCATATGAAATATTTTACCTCACAAATACAAGAGTTTTTACAAATTGCTGGAAATGTGCA